AATGCTAAGCAAAACAGGAGATTTGGAGACCAGGTTCCCACATAAGCAGGAGGATCCCAAGCTATATGAGAGCATGTGGGAGGCAGATGTGGCCAAACGCCAAAGAAGCCCATCTAAACCAGAGAGGCTCCAGCCGCTGGTGATGAGTTCACGCCACTTCCTTGGTAAAGAAGAACTTCAGGGTGGAATTCTTAATCTCAGGAAACAAACTGAGGGTTGCTGGAGTGGTGGGGGGTGGGAGGGATTGGGTGGCTGGGTGATAGACATCGGGGAGGATATGTGCTATGGTGAGCACTGTGAATTGTACAAGACTGAGGAATCACGGATCTGTACTTCTGAAACAAATAATGCAATATATGTTAAGGAAAAAAAAGAAGAAGAAGATAGCAGGAGGGGAAGAATGAAGGGGAGTAAGTCGGAGGGGGAGACGAACCATTAGAGACGATGGACTCTGAAAAACAAACTGAGGGTTCTAGAGGGGAGGGGGGTGGGGGGATGGGTTGGCCTGGTGGTGGGTATTGAAGAGGGCACGTTCTGCGTGGAGCACTGGGTGTTATGCACAAACAATGAATCATGGAACACTGCATCAAAAACTAATGATGTAATGTATGGTGGTTAACATAACAATAAAAAAATTATTAAAAAAAAAAAAAAGAAGAACTTCAGGGTGCTTTGTATGTCTGTGTTTTTCAGAATGAACCAAATGTAGTTTCCACATGCCCTGTGAGATCAGACATGCCCCGCAAAGCCTGGTCTCGCAAAAAACTACCTCCCAGAATTTGTATGCTGCCAAACTTGCTCTGGAGGGTTCCATCTTTGGAATTCTGGCACCTAGAGAGAGTCAACCAGGTGCTCCACCCCCCTCCCTGGAGCAAAAGATACTATATTTTCATCTGAATGAAGCAAAGTCCCAACCTAGTGCTAATGCTTCCTGCAGTTTGGGTGTGTGGGGCACCTGCTCAGTGTGTGATATTCTCTTCCATAAAGGCAGCGCATTGGGGCAAAGGAGAAGGAGGAAATGAAGGGGAGTTCAGAGCCTAACTCCCTAGAGGACAAAACAAATCTCTCTTAATCACTGTAACTATTTGAAAATCATTTCAAAAAAAAATGTCTTGTCGTCCTGGCGGTTGCTCAAGGAATTACAGGTCTCAGAGTCATGGGGCAATAATCCTGGGTCAACGTGCTGCTTCATTTTGGACACATGCAAACATACACCCATCCCAAAATATTTCAGTTTTATTTACTCACAACACTTTACTTCCTTCCTTCATTTATTTACTTATAACGGTTTAGCTATGGGGCGCCTGGGTGGCTGTCAGTTAAGCAGCTGCTTTCGGCTCAGGTCATGATCCCAGGGTCCTGGGATCAAGCCCCACATCGGGCTCCCTGCTCAGCGGGGAGCCTGCTTCTCCCTCTCCTCCCTGCTCAGTGTTCTCACTCGCTATCTCTGTGTCTCACTCTCAAATAAATAAATAAAATCTTAAAAAAAAAATTTAGCTAAAATGTTACCGTCTTTACTGCTTGCCATGTGCTTGCCCTGAATTGTTTCACTGAATCCTCACAAGACTGTGAGATAGATATCTCTGTCATTTACATCTCACAGATGTGGAAACAGCTTTCAAAAAGTGACAAAGCCTGCTCACAGTCACTGAACTTATAAGTGGCAGGTCCAGGACGCATAGCTACAGCCTTCTGAGGACTTGGGAGCCTGTGAATCTTGGTTGTATGCAGTCCTGCCTCCCTTGACTGGCTCTGCAAATGTAGCCGTGCCAACAAGCCCTGCACCAAGCTTCATTTGCTTATTGGCCAAAAGATTCTAGAGCAGGATTTCTGAAGCTGAGTCCCAGCCATCATGAGAGATGGTTCTCTGTGCCCCTCACCTGCATCTCCTTGCGGGGGGAGGACCCGATATTGTCCTGGTCTCTGTGCCTATCTCCTGGTCCTGCTGATTGAGTGCCCCAAGTCTGATCCCACCTGTCATTAACTCGTTCCGCAGATCAGGTATTTATTAGTAAAAATCCCTGGGCCAATCTGCCATGTTGATAGATCTTGCAAAGGCACCCTCTGCAGGGCTGGAGACATACTCCCAGCAGCAAGGTCACAGGGCCCTTGTGTCCCCAGCCTGTAAGCAGGGGGTCTTAGCAACTTTCTGATCATTACAATCCAGTAAATGAAAGCTGGTAGCTCACTGGAGTTTTAATTTGCCTTTTTAAAATTATGAGTGAAGTTGAGCACTTTTCCTATTTTTAAGAGTCATTTCAATTTCCTTTTCCAAGAGCTCCCTGGTCATATCCTCTCTCTCCACTTTTCTGTTGGGTTGACAGTCTTCTCACATTGTATTGTGGTTTTTTATGTATTAGGGAAATTAATACTGTGAAATATTTTTCTTTAAAAAAAAAGATTTTATTTATTTGAGAGAAAGTGCGAGAGAGAGCACAAGCCAAGCTGGGGGGAGAGCAGAGGGAGAAGCCGACTCCCCCGCTGAGCAGGGAGCCCAATGTGGGGCTCAATCCCAGGACCCTGGGATCATGACCTGAGCCAAAGGCAGACGCTTAACCGACTGAGCCACCCAGGCGCCCTTTGATCTTGTTTTTAAGCATAAAGAACTTTGGGAAAAAAATTATGTACTTAAATTTACCAATTTCTCTTTTATGGTTTGTGTCCTATTTTAAGACCTTTCTTGCTCTGAGATTACTTTTATTTCATTTTATAAAAATTTAAATCCCTAAGCCATTAGGGTTATCATGAGGATTAAATGAGATAATGTGTTTAAGACTAAGAAGAGCAGATGACATTTAGTAAGTGTTCAGTAAAGTGTTGTTAGTGTGTTGAGGTAGGTAAAGGGCTTAGCCAGTGCCTGCACACATCTCTCTCCTCAAAGACATGTCTGGACATCCAAGGGGGTTTAATGGGATGTCAGTTACCACTGTGTAAGATCATTACAATTAAGAAAGGAAGGGGTCCAGTCTCTGGTACCCACAGGTCATGAGGTACCCTATATATCCATCCCCAAACAAACAGAAAAGCCCTTCCCCAGAGCCCACTGTCCACCCTTTGATCTCAGCAGGCTCTTTGATGCTGTCCTTCATCCTTTGTTACCTAGACTAGACTTCTCTTTTTTAAAGAGCACAGTGAGCTCTTGGCTGGATTTTTTTCTGGACTCCACTAAACTTGGCATCAGGCCCCGCAAACTCCCTCCAGTCTCTCACTCTCTTCCTCTAAGGAGAGACTGCCATAGGTTGTGTTTGGAGGCTACAGACTGAGTATGATTCCGCAACCCTCAACACCAACACGCCCACCCCCACCGACAACTGCCTTTCCCGCCCCGGCTTGTGTTGCTTCTCCCAGTGTTTTAAGAATGAGTTCCAAAATGTAAAAGTCTAGGGCCACCGGGCCTCAGAGTAATAGAAACGAGGTGGGAAGAGACAAAAGATGTGGCTAGAAAGAGCAGGGGCTGTTGGTGTGGGCTCTAATATGGTTAGACGGATAATTTAGAAAGTTCACTCAACAGCTGATGCCGAGAATGGATTGGAGGACTGAGCCTGGTGGAAGCAAAGAGGTTACTGCCCTGGCCCCGCTGAGAAGGGGTGTGGTTTCTAGCATCTGCCTTCGGCTCAAGTCATGATCCCAGAGTCCTGGGATGGAGTCCAGCATCAGGCTCCCTACTCAGCCTGCTTCTCCCTCTGCCCTTCCACCCGCTTGTGTTCTGTCAAATAAATAAAATCTTCTTTTTTAAAAAAAGTAGAGATCACTAAACCTTACATGTGGGATGAAGGGCAGGGCAGAGGTTATAAAACTGTGCTTTTGAACTTGGAAAAATGAATAGGTCAGCTCATCCCCACCCCGCCCCCCAAACCATAACTAGCTTCTGGTCTCAGCTTAAATGTCACCTCCTCAGAGAGTTTCCTGCTCACCCTGGTCACAGTGGAAAGTCCACTCCAACCCTGCTAGATCATGTCACTGCATGCTCCCTATTTCCTTCTTGGCACCATTCACAGTTTGTAGTTAGGTTATCCTCTTCATTGGACTGTAAACTCCATGGGGCACCGTCCGATCTACCTAGCTCATTATTTTATCTCCATGCCTAGTACAAGACCTGGCACTTAGCAGGTGGTTAATAAACACTCTGTTAAATGAATTTAGGAAGGAGGGAGAGGGGCACCTGGGTGGCTCAGTTGGTTGAGCATCCAACTCTTAGTGTCAGCTCAGATCATGATCTCGGGGTTGTTATATAGAACCCTGCCTCCTGCTCCATGGTCGGGGGGCGGGGGGAGCCTCTGCTTGGGATTCTCCCTCTCCCTCCTCTCCTGGCGCACTCTCGCTTGCTTTCTCTCTCTCTCAAATAAATAAATCTTAAAAAAAAAAAAAAAAAGGAGGGACAGGTTGGGGACTAAGATGGTGGGGAGCGCCCCATTTGCTGCGTCCCTCAAAATTTCTCCAGCAGGCTGCCGGAGACATGGGTCGCGAGCTCAGGAGAGAGGAGAGCTGCACCTCTGGGAGGCATCTTGTATAAATCAGACCCTGGCAACGATTTGAGAGCACCTAGGCACGACTTAAGACAAAGGCTACCCTGCCAGAGAACTACCACCAGGGACACTTGGTAAGCACGCAGATTCCCAGGCTTCTCCCCAGACACCAGGGACCAGGAATCCGCAGGCGTAGCACGTTCCCCCAGGTGACTCGGATGCACCTCGCGGTAGCAGAGCTCGACTGTAGGGCAGGGGAGGCGTGTACGCTGTGGGGCAAGAGGACAGCGCCCGAAACGGTGACTTTGGGTGGCCGGGTCACAGGACACGCCCACAACCCCGCCTCGCCCGCTCCCCAGCGCAGTGACCTTTGGGCTCACTTGGCCCGGCGCCGCGCTCCGCTGCGCTCCGCCCCGCCCCCCCGCCCTGCCTTCCGATTGGCCACCGTTCCACCCGCCCCCCTCGGCCTCGACTAATGGGGCCGGCGCGCGCCGGAAGCCGGAAGCCCCGCGGCGCCGGCGTCCCCCGGGCAGCTGCCGCGCGCTACCATGCGAGGCTTGGGGCCAGCCCTGACGGCGCGGCGCCTCTTCCCTCTGCGGCTCTGCCCGCGGCCGCCGCGGCCGGTCGGACACCGGCTGTCGAGCGGGTCGGCGGCGGCGGAGGCGGGCGCCCTGGAACGGGCCATGGACGAGCTGCTGCGCCGCGCGGTGCCCGCCACGCCGGCCTATGAGCTGCGCGAGAAGACGCCGGCGCCGGCCGAGGGCCAGTGCGCCGACTTCGTGAGCTTCTACGGCGGCCTGGCCGAGGCGGCCGAGCGCGCCGAGCTGCTGAGCCGCCTGGCGCGGGGCTTCGGCGTGGACCACGGCCAGGTGGCCGAGCAGAGCGCCGGCGTGCTCCAGCTGCGAGAGCAGCCGCGGGAGGCGGCCGTGCTGCTGCAGGCCGAGGACCGGCTGCGCTACGCGCTGGTGCCGCGCTATCGCGGCCTCTTCCACCACATCAGCAAGCTGGACGGCGGCGTGCGCTTCCTGGTGCGGCTGCGGGCCGACCTGCTCGAGGCGCAGGCCCTCAAGTTGGTGGAGGGGCCGCACGTCCGGGTAAGGCCCCGCCCGGGCCCCCACCTTGCACCAGGACCGCGAGCTCTTGGAGGTTCTCCCGGTACCTCCCCCTCAAGCCCCAAACACTCCACCTTCCCCAGCCTGAAGCCGCGCACACTTTGCCCCCAGTTACTGTCCCCTGCACCCCGTCTCCTTCCTTCCCAGGCTTTCTGAATCCTTGCCTTGCTCCGGGGTTTACTGTGTAGTGCTTACTAGAAAACGGGGCACCGCCTACCTTTAACGTGACTGTCAACGCCTCCTTCATGGTGAAGTGTGTTCCACGAAGTCTCTTTTTTATTACTTTAGCTGAGTTTCATCTATGTGCTATATTTGAACGAGTACCCAACCGAGCATCGCGTAGCCTCCAAAAACCTGGATGATGTCAGCAAAAGTTAGTTGCACACCCACTATGTGTAAGCCCTGGTCTAAGAAGCCCTGCGGAATGCACAGAGATGATGACTCTGGTCTCTGCCTCATGGCTGTGCACGCCTTTGCACTTTCCTGAGTTCAGCCCTGAAATGTGATGATTCCAAGTTGAGTACTTGAGTAATCAGGTGCTTAGCTCGGTGAGCTCATGTTAGGTGCAAGTGAATACTTCCAGGATTTAAATAATGATGACTTGAAAGATTGCTGACACTTGAACGTAGTCCTCTTCTATTCTTAGTATTAAATATGAAGGGGCCACTAGCCTGCCCTTTTAGTGAACAAAAGATGATGTAAATGTTTCAGGAAGCTTCTGACATTGAGAACTTCTTTGGGTGCAGTTGGCTTTAAAAAAAATCGAGCAGTTGAATGATTATGTCCTAATTCATTTAAGAACGCTAACACTGGCATGATAATTTTCATGTTCATGTCCTCATTCTTAGGTGGGTTAAGGAAACCTACTGAGGTCAGGAGACTTGACCAAGGACTCAAAGCAAATAGGTATGTCTCCGATCATCTACCCAAACCTCAGTCTGGGGTTTTTTGCACCATGCTTTATAACTACATCATGCGACGTGAGTTACGGTGTTTATGAGAGACTTCATCTTTCTTGACTATTTGGCCTCAGATGCATAAACACTGGGGATAGTTAAAAATGGGGTTAATCTCAGTGATAACAGTGCTGTGATTGATTACTCATGATGGCTGGTTAATTTATAATGCTAGATGTTAATCTAGGGCCACGATTTGAATTGATCACATTTCTGACTCAAGCCCAGTCTGAATGGCTGAGACTTCATGTTCTACACACTGTGTGCATGCCCATCTGCCTGAGTTAAGCCTTCAATCCAAGCACAGGTGTTGCGTTTTTTTGTTCTTTGTTTTTTTGTTTTTTCTTGAAACAGGGACCAGTACTCCATGGTGGTCCTTCTGAAGCTTGATTTTTATTACATAGAAAACTGGAGAATTAGGTAGAATGTCACCTGTTCCAGAATGAAATAATTAACCTTTCTATCCATCCTTCCACGCAACACATGACCATTAGGTGTTTATCTTATACCAGGCATGCTCCTGGTGCTCAGGTCGCTTGGTCAAGAGCTTCCATTCTAGTCTAGTATGGGAAGAGTTAATAGCAGGCATGATGACTGGTAGGTGCTTTTCGCACACTGGCTCATCTCATTCTCAGCAAGCCATAGGGACCTGTTGTACAGATGAGGACATTAAAGCTCGTCATGGTCAAGTGCAATGCCCAGAGTGCTGAGCTGGAATTCAAGCCCAGTCTTGACTCCAGAATTGTGTACTATGTCACTACACGTTGATTCTCGGAGCCGATGAGTTTACTGGATCTAAAAGGGATTTGGTTTTCTTAGAATTTGCCTTTTTCTGCAAAATCAAGGACAAGATAAAACAACCCAGTTAATTAATGGCTTTGTTTTACTTAGTTTTACCTAATGGGGAGTTTAATGTTCTCTAGTTGTGAGTGTATTTACTTTTTCCGGGAGTAAGTGTACAAGCTTCCATCTACCGGTAACATCAGTGCTCATCTTTCTCTGGAGCCACTGGCCATTGTTCCCTGTTGCAAAATCAGCAATCCTGCCCTGGCCAGAAGGATCAGCATGTAATGTCTTTCCTTTGGCATTCTTGGTGCACACCAAACTACTGCAGACGTTTCCAGCTTTCCCACCCATTACTCGCTCCTCTCCACAGACCGCCCTTTGATGGAAAGTTCCCGACCCCACATTACTACGTGATTCTTTCTTGGGAAGCCCATTAGAGTAGGAGCTGCTCATCACGCAGCGTTTCCAGCACTCCAGTTCAAGGTGGCTTCCCCCAGTTTTGAGCTTCATGGCATGCATTATTTGTGCATGTATTATATTATTCGCTTGGATTTTATACCTTAACATTAGAATTTAGCATTTGAAATGTATTATTCCACCAGCCCCCCACCAACTCCAACTAGATGATCAGCCCCTTGAAAACTGACAGCCTTGTTTTAAAAGTCTTTCGTAGCAAAATGGTGAATGATGCATGAGATGAGAGTCTGGGGTGCCCCGCCACAAGACGGAGTTGACACACTGATTACTTCCATTTGTCTTGACGTCACACTGCTGCACTCAGACGTCTGAGCCCGGAGGGAAGCCCAGAGGGCTGGGAAGGTTTCTGCATGGGTAGCAGAGGCATCACGTCAGACATTTGGCCAGCCCTTGGCAGATTTCAGCGTGTTGGCCGCAGTGATGTCTAAGGTCCCATCCAGTTCTAAATCCTCCAGTTTCGTGAGAGGTTACCGAACACGTCCATCCCCTTGCTCTTCCCCACGCAAGAAAACTTGGGTTATCATTCAGGTGAGGAGGAGCGTGGCAGCTGAAAGCTGTGACATTGAGACTTGATCTGGGCGCCCGAGGGGCTCGCTCTGGGGAGATCCTGAGCCAGGTCCTAGGCTGTTCGGGGTTCCCCTGTTTTTTTAACCAAGGTAGTCCACACACGAAGAAACCTTTTGTACCAACAGGCAGAAAGTCATGTGGAATAAAGATATTTCTTGAGCAGAGGATGAGTAACGATAGCCTGACCTTTGCCACTGCGTGTGTCCCAGACAAAGGCAAGAAGCCTTTTCTAGTCGCTTAGTCACACTTCTTGGCGTTTCTCTACCTGGAGATCTTGTCCTTCTGTCCAGTGCAGGTAACTATTAGGGCTAAATCCATCCATTCCCTTCTCCTTTGCTCTGTGTGGTCACTTAGCACTTTTTTAATCGCTATCATTTAAATCCTTCAGAGAATAGTTTTTTTTTAATCCATAGAAATTGTCCCTGGGATCCAATTTTGTGATCTATCTGTAGGATCATGTAATGTGTGCAATCCACTTTGATTTCCGTTTCTTCTACCTCATTCTGGATTTTGCATCCAGGCTAAAGAGACAACACAGCTAGAACCTTTTGCTCTGAGGAATTCAGTGTTAGAAACCACTGGAAGTTTGGCACGTGAATCTTTAGAGCAGGAGTCCCAAACGCCCACTGACCCGTGGTGCCCTGTGATGCTGGGGGAGCAGGGAGCTCCTCGTCGCTTCCGATCTGAGCGCCCCTCCCTGCGTGCACATGGCACCGTGTCCTGGCTATGTCGCTCTCCCCGCACCTGCTCACCTCCGACTTGCTGGATGAAGTCACATGGACACGCGCCGGTTTGCATGAGGGCTGCTGTTGGTTTGGCCCTGAGCGTTCACCCCGGAATACGCTCAGTCCACTGCGGGACCATGACAGGTTCTTGTTTACTGAATCCTATAGGGTGCAATGGCATTTTTAGAGTAACGGGCAAGTATGAGGCCAAAAAGGAAGCTGATGGGGTGTCTTTCACGGGGCAGTGGGGACTGTGGAGGAAGCACTGTGTGGAGATGGAAGAGGCCGGCTCTCAAGACCAGGCCCTCTGCTGATTAAAGGCATGATTTTAGCCAGGTCCTTTAACCCCTGGGCCCATTGGCTGTGCGCTGAGGTGAGAGATTCTGCTGGTGGTTGGTATGCTCAAGGTCAGCCTGCTTCCCCCTTCTAAGAAGTGCTCTGAGGGTTACTGTGCAACTTGGCTCAAAATGAGGTTCACAAACGAGGGTACAGTTCATCACGGTCCAGGTTGTGATTACTGGAAATAGGGGTGTGTGCTGTGTGTGTGGTTTAGAGGCTTTCTGTTTTATCTCCAGAGGCCAACTTGGGTTGAGGAGTCACACTTCTTAGAGATAAAAATCCCCCGTGAAGCTGACTTGAGTTCCCATTCTAGGAGGTCCGAGCTCTGTTCAGTGGCTTGTGGGCACCAAAGGGAAGTTGGCATTTAGAAAGTGGAAGTGTTTCTTGATGGCAGTTTGAACATAGAAATTCCAGTGAGATGAGAGGTCTGTGGGCCTTGACAGAAGCACGGGGGCCGGCAGAGAGGGGGCTGAACTCGCAGCTGACTGGCCGGCGGCGTCCCTACTGTCTCGAGGTCCAGCCACACTGGATGCTTTGTTGTACGACCTCTTTTGGTGGCTTGTCCTGCTTTGCAGTGAACATAGTGGTCCTTGTTGGTTCTACTAAACTCTGTGCTTAGCTAGACCAAAAAGGACCTATCTGCAGTTTGGCGGGGATGCCGCGGTGCCCCAGGGGGACAGCAGCTTCCACCAGTGGGAGTCATTCCTAGAATGTCTTAGCCGTGCCGCCGGGACCCTGTCCAGTGCTTCCAGCTCCTTGTCCCAGCTCAGGGCTTCTGAGCGATGGAAACTAACTTTGCTCCACATTCCAAACATGGGGAGATCTTGATAGCCAACAACTTCAGCAAACTCTGCCCAAAGGGGAGGTTGATTGGCCTCCTGCACAGTGTCCTCCAAGATAACCACAGTGGGCAGGTCTGGAAAGCCGAGTCCAGGTTGACTGGCATCCCCAGCAGTTGTGTGTGTGAGTCTGGGATCCATGGCAGAACTGATGCGCATAACGCAGAGGCGGTGTCTTCCCCTCCTGTCACCTGCGATCCGGCCCAAACAGCTGTGCCGCGTGAGCACCGAGCCTGGGGACTTGTGCCCTTTCACCTAGATTCCCAGATCTCATGTGGCAGGGTCACATTTCACAGCCGTCAGTAACCCGAAATAGAACCAAGAGACCTTGGAGGGGGAGCTCTCACCGGCCAAACCGTTTCTTTCATCATTAATCCTGAATTGATACTGAAACTAGGTACCTCCCGCATGCTCCTGTCATGAATGTGGTAGAGGCACCAGCACTCCCCACATGGAGCTTGGCTAATCCAGTCCTAACCCTTCAGTGCACAGGTTCCTAACCTGGAGTCCACGAACCCCAGGGAATGAGCCATAGGTGAGTTTCAGAGGGTTCCATGAATCCCAGGAAATTGTGTACACAAATTGACTCATGTGTTTGCATTTTCCTGGGGAGCAGGTCCCTGGTTTTTAGCACGTACTCAAGAGGGCATGAGGACCCCAGGAAGATTAAGAACCGTTGTGGTCCAAGGCAGTATTTTATTTTATTTTATTTTATTTTATTTTATTTTATTTATTTTATTTTATTATTTTATTTTATTTATTTATTTATTTATTTATTTTATTTTATTTTTTTATTTTATTTATTTTTTCTTTCCAAGGCAGTATTTTATAAGCAACCTTTGTGCACTGCCTGGCCGATGGCCTCTCTTCTCCCATCCTGTCATTGCCTCCTCCCCATTCCCCAGTCATTCTCTTTCATTTGACATCAGTCTGCTAACTGTCTTCCACATGGGAAACCGCCCCCCCGAATTCTTTGGGCACCAGAGGAGTAAATTTGAAACAACCTCTGCCCTCACTGTGAGCGTAGAGCTGAGTGAAGAAGACCAGGTTATGGAATTGAGAATTAAAAGGCATTGTAAAAGGCATCTGGTCCAACCCATAAATCCTTAAAACAGCTCCAGCAAATCCTCATCGACCCAGCGCTCAGTCCCCACCTATGGTGAGGGCCATCCAGGATGGTGTCTGTAGTCAACCCTACCTATTCAAGCCTTCTCTTATAGTAAATTCAATCCAAGTCTAACTTGGTCCATGATTTCCCCGTTGGTCCAAGATTTACCTCCCTCCTCTCCCCCATAGGGTTACACAGAACAAATTTGTGGCTGGTTCTGTGCCTTAAATATTTAAAGATGGATCTCACTTCATTCTGAAACCTTTTCTGAGCCACCAATCCTATACTTCCTTGCAACTTGTCCTCAGGTGACAACATTGTGAATCCTTTCACCTTTTACCAGGGAATAAAATGTGAAGTGGTCCTATCCTATAACGTTTTTACAGCTTTTGCAATTAAAGCTCTTTGTCAATTCTGTACCAAATGTCCTGAGATATTTATTAGTATTCAGTAATAATAATCAGTGTATCTGTTAATATGTAGTTCATCTATGAGTAACAGAGACCCAAAATAATAGTAGTTTGAAGAAGAGAGAAGTTTGTCGCTCACGTAAAACTCTGCAGGTAGACACCCCAGGGATGATTCTGTTCTGTGATGCCTTCAGTTGCCCCAGATTTCCGTTTGGTTCTCCCCTAAAGACCTTAATCCCCAGAGTTACCTCATGGCCCAAGATGGCTGCTCCAGCTCTGGCCACAGTTACCTCTGGCCCAGATGGCTGCTCCAGCCCACCTTCCAGCCTGCAGGGGGAGCAACAAAGAAAAGATGGGCAAAGGGTATTCTCTTGCCATTTTTTAAAGTACCCCAGAGCTGCTCCAGGACACTTCCGTTTACATCTGGCCAGAAGTCAGTCATATGACCACCCCTAGCTGCAGTGCGATCTTAAATCTGGACAGCCATGCACCTACGTAAAGCATAAGGCTTCTGTGCGTTTGGAAGAAAGGGAGGCAGATGTTGAGGAACGAACAAGCTATGTCCGCTGCCCTGGGCGTCATCTTGCTCTGGCTCTCAGGAAGCCTACTGCTGTCCATGTTCAGCGTGTCACGGGAGGCTACCCCGAGCCAGGTCTGCCCCTGTGTCCCCTCCTTTCCCTACGCACCTGGTGCCATTCTTGCTTGAAAGGTGAAGTTGACTCACGTCACTTCTGGACACAGATCGGATACAAATAAGTGAAGTGAAATTAGAGTAATTTCATCAAATCTAAATGTACTAATCGCCAAGCACGCTATTATTTTATGTCCCACAAAAGTAGGAAAAACCGCTCCCCCACCGCAAGGGTGACCCGCCGTCATGTGAAAAATGCATCTCGACTTCAGAGATGTTCAGATATGAAATGTAGAGCTGCCGACTGTGGCACCCGGACCCTGCACTTCTTTCTCTCCGGAAACAAGGGGTGACACCTTGGTGCGTCCCAGAGTGTCCCCAAGAGCGTGAGGACTCGAGTCCCGTGCCGTCTGTGTTAGCGTGCCCTGCGTGGCGCACCATCCGTTGCTCTATCAACCTCACGTTTCAGTTGTGTTCACTGCAGTCAACGCATCCCAGCTATTTGATTGGGGCAGCTTAGCTCACATTGAACGCTCCCTTTGAGGCCTCGTTCTGACTGGAGTCGCAGAGGCTAAGTAGAGAGCTGGGTGCCCAGCGCCTGGTCGGGGTGGGTCCTGCAAAGAAGCTGGTTGGCGAAGCACCATGAAGGGGGCTTTTGTGTCCCACTTTATCCACGGTGCCGGCTGGCGACGAGGCAGGGGTGCGTGTGCTCGCCCGGCCCCGGCAGCTAGCACTGTGTTCTCCCTTGCAGGAGATGAACGGAGTGCTGAAGGGTATGCTCTCCGAGTGGTTCTCTTCCGGCTTCCTGAGCCTTGAACGGGTCACCTGGCACTCGCCCTGTGAGGTGCTGCAGAAAATCAGCGAGTAAGTATTAAGATTTTCACTTTTCCTTAGTGTTAGCTGAAAGCCAGTCTCCACCCGCACAGGCGCTCGGTTCCAAGCACAGTATTCGCAAATGGTGTGGCTGTCCTAGCCCGTGATGTCGAGATCACAGGTGGGCACCGGCCATTCTGCCCGCAGGCCCGCATGCGGGGTTCCCTTGATGTCCTTGTGTTTCCTTGCAGGCCCCGTGTCGGAGCCGCAGGACTTCCCTGGACATTAGGATCTCCCCTAATTGGGCAAACTTCTCCCTTGGGTGAATCTCGGAGTGGGCTGTATGGTACACGATACGCGTGTGCCCGGGGCATGGAGAAGCCCCGGCTGGCGTGTCACAGTGGTCCTTGGACCGGAGAAGCTCTTTCCATCTCAGGGTCTTCATGCTCCCTGCCGTCTTAAGGAAGCTAAGGCTTGCAAAAGGTTGCACTTGGAAGCGTGACAAATCCCAGGGGCTGCCATTTCACTGGCCGAAAACAATATAGTGGTTGGAGGAGGTCACTAGACAAATGGAACCAGGTCACAATCTCAGGGTCATGAGATCGAGCCCCGAGCTGGGCTCCACCGCTCAGTGAGGAGTCTGCTTCAGATTCTCTCTCTCTGTCTCAAATAAATGAATAGATAGAATCTTTTTTTAAAACAAATGAATAAATAAAATTGCTGCACGGGCGCCTGGGTGGCTCAGTCGTTAAGTGTCTGCCTTCGGCTCAGGTCATGATCCCGGGGTCCTGGGATCGAGCCCCACATCGGGCTCCCTGCTCGGCGGGAGCCCTGCTTCTCCCTCTCCCACTCCCCATGCTTGTGTTCCCTCTCTCGCTGTCTCTCTCTCTGTCAAATAAATAAATAAAATCTTAAAAAAAAAATTGCTGCACAACTGCTTCCCAAGGGCCCTGCAAACTAGTCTTTTAAGACCAGGTATTAAGAATCAGAGGACAATTTCATGTGTAAAATGGTCATTAGTTGGAGTTCCTCTCAGTCAGTGCTGTTTCATATTAAAACAATTTTCTTTGAATTCTGAAGTTGTAATATGAATTGGAATCAGCAATGGTTATTTAACTTGTAGATTGTTCGACTGTCTTATTTCTAATTCTCTCCTCAGGTCTGAGGCCGTGCATCCTGTGAAAAATTGGATGGACATGAAGCGACGCGTCGGGCCTTACAGGAGATGTTACTTCTTTTCTCACTGTGCAGCCCCCGAGGAGCCCTTGGTCGTGTTGCACGTGGCGCTGACCGGCGAGATTTCCAGCAACATCCAGGTACCTGCACAGTCGTGGCGGAACCACGCAGGCGTCCCACAGGGCCCCGTACATTTTTCTAAAACCTGATTTTACCCCCCTTTATGAAGTACGTTGCTTGAGGCATTCGCGTTCTGAATTGGCTAGAGAAGAAATCTCCAGATCTGTAGCCACAGGGTGTAGACCTGTACTAGACAGAGTTACAGACTGAGGACGGCGCTCCTCTGCGGGAATTGACTTCGAGCGGAGACAGGGCTGAGGAAGGGAGGGCACTCGCTTTCACAGTTGAGCATTCATTCAGTGCCTGTGGGCAGGTATAAAAGATCCGTGACTAAAAACTTGAAAACTAGACTGTGTGCCTTGTGCCTACTGTGGGCCCAGCGCTCTGCCCAGGGAGCCGAGGGGACAGGCCCACGGTGATGGGCCCTGCCTGCTGCGGAGTTGACAAGAAAGTCCCCATCCTTCCTGCAGGTGCAGGGATGGGGACACTGCTGCAGAAGAAGAACCAGTGTGGGGCTAGGGATGGGGGCAGACCCCAAGGAAGGGAAAGGCAGGTGAGGGGAGCCGAGACACCCAGGTCACTTTGGACTTTGCGTTCGGAGTGGCCGGTTAGGAAGCTGGAAAGATGAAAACGGATACCAGGGTGGGCTCACGGGCAGCGTTTCCTAGTATCAGAAGGCGGAGAAATCAAGCAGGGCAAATGGGCAGGTGTTCTTGCCCACCAGGGAGAAATGCCCTGAAGCCTTTCGTGTCTGAGGGAGCCGGCAGTCCTCTCTACGGGCTGGGCGGCGGGATCTATGAAAATGGAGAACGGGCGTTCCTTTCCACCTACAATTTCCACGCTGAGGGATTCATCCCTGGGAGATGCTCAGACCTAAGAGTGTGGACGTGGCTCATGAGGGCATCGTGTAGTTTTGGAAGGCTGGACATGATGGCCCGACTGCCCACCGTAGAGAACGCGGGAAAGACACGAAGGCGTATACCTCTGGTACATCCTCCCACCCAGGATCTCCATGCGTGTATTTAAATGGGGATTTACTGCTACGGTTTTGACGCAGAAAGCCGGCCTTGACTTACTCTTGAGTAAAATTCAGGCCCCGGCCTAGCATGTGTAGCGTGCTCTTATGTGTATATTGATAGAGCGTTTGCTCGGTGCCCATCAGCCCCTCAAGCACGTTCCCTGCGTCACTGCTCAGCACCACGTGGGTTAGGCGTCACTCCCACTAATGTTGTCCTCGTGTGGGTGTGAGAAGACTGAGGCTTAGGGGAACTTCAGTGATGTGCCCATGATCCCAGAACCAGTAAGGATGAGACAGAATTCCAACCAGCGCACACCCCAGCCTTCAGGGCAATGCTTCTGTGCTGGAGATTGGGGCGTATGGGAGCAGGTGAGAGGGGAGGGGGTTGTGCCCAGGGTGTGTGTGTGTGTGTGTGTGTGTGTGTGTGTGTGTGTGTATTTAAGCCTGTACATACCTTTAGCCAGTGAGACAGACTGGAAGGCATTCACCCCAAGGTTAGCAGCAGAACTTGCATTAGGTTTTGGAGTAACTTGTGATTTCTTCCTTATGCATTCCCTTCTTGCCCCCTCTTGGACATTGTGCACATCTCATTTGTATAACCAAAGAAGGATTCATTTGTATTTTGAACACTTTGAAAAAAGATTTGCTGTTACTTTTTGAATAGGGAACGCAAGGTAACCTACAGAGTTCTGGAAAGACAAAGGAGGTAACCCCATAAGGTGAAGACCAAGCCCAAGGCTGAGGTGCACCCTGACCCTGACAGCCGGGAGCCCTCCCTCAGAGTCCGGCCCCAGGAAAGGGCGTGGCACCGCCCCGGGGATGTCCCTCCCTCTGTGTCACCATCCACCCCGCTTTCCTATGACAGCAGTTCTTAATTTTTCATGAGTCACAGGAAAGACCCTTTGAGCATCTGAAGGGGATGAAAGCTGGAGGTCATTTTCCCCTGGGGGACATGCGCAGACTCACACGTTCCACACACAATTTCAAAAAGCTTGGGGACTCCCAGGCCTCAGCGGGGCTCTGGGCCAAACCACCCCTACTGCAAGAGTCAGATGTAGCTGGTGGAAGTTAGGGTAGCTTAAATGTGTTCAGGAGAAGCAAGCTGGTGTACCTGCATTGAAGCAAACTGAAGGTAACCACCTGCTCTTCCGATGGTCAGGTGACCTTCAGATGGGAAGGTTCAGAAAACCCTGCATTGAGAACTCAGGGCTAATAAGATCAGCCCTGGCAAAGGGACTTTCCTACAGAGTCTTTCCTAGGTCACTTCGTGTGTGTGGGTGTGGGTGTGTGTGTTTTCCCTGAGGAAAAACAAGGATGTAGCACAAAATCAAAAAGGTACACAGAAAAGTACCTTTCCTAAGAGAAAAACTGTATAGGAGCATGTATGGCCCTATTGAGAAATCTAAAAACCTAGAGCTCGGAGAGAAGGAATGAAAATAACTACGGGCTGCAGCCAGCAGGCCTGCACGGGGCAGCCGGGGAAGTAGAGGTGAGGCGGGGTGGGGAGGAGCGTCATCTCTGGCTCCCATAGCACAGAGGCCTGGGAAAGAGAAGACAGAGGGGACACGCATTGGTTTTTGAGAAGTTCAAAGGGACCGAGATGGCACAGGTGCAGCAAACAGCCCAGGGAGGCTACGCAGGTGCCGCCTCCAGAGAGATTTCCTGTCGGAACAGGCCTTCGGTCTCCAGAGCCTCGTCCGTGAATAGGGACTAGGGTGTCCCGGCTCCCACCCTCCCTGGCTTCTCCTCGCCCCAGGAGGTAGGGCAGGCACGGCAAGCAAGGGGCCCAGGCCCACCAGCATCGTGTCTTCCAGGCCATAGTGAAGGAGTGCCCCCCGCCGGAGACGGAGGAGAGGAGCAAGATCTCCACGGCCATCTTCTACTCCATCAGTCTGACGCAGCCAGGACTGCAGGGCGTGGAGCTGGGCACCGTCCTGGTCAAGCGAGTGCTCAAGGAGCTGCAGGTGGGCACGGCACAGGGCCTCCGGCTGTGAGACGAGAGAGGACCTAGAGGGGGGTGGGGGGAGTGGGGAAGAGCCAGATGCCCCTTGGCACGTCCCAGGTGCCCCAAGACGACTCGGGAGAAGTAAGCAGTGCCGAGAGAGGGACATCTGGTAACTCGCTTCCGAGGACATTAGCCCCTCTGGGAAACCATCCGCCCTGTGGCCGGGGCCTCTCCCGGCTTCATAACCGCCAGCCCCTTTGCTCCCATGGTCCCAGTTTGGATGGCACACTTTGTGGCTCCCACACCCTCCAGGCTCTGGCCCCGGCACCCCCCAGCATGGGCTTTCTCAATAGCCCTGAGGGAGCGTCAAGGTTAGACCAGGCAGCTCGAAGGTAAACACGCTGGCCTTTTTTTTTTTTTTTTTTTTTTAAATAACTTCCCTCTGTTGCCCTGGGAAAAACGCTTCACCATCCTACAACAGAAATGTTCCCATTCGCTCCAGGTCTAGCTTTCTGAAACGATCTCATAAGGGGCTTGAGTGAACTGCAGTGAGCAGAATCTAATTATTAGGTAAAATAATTAGATTGCTAATAATTGGCTCTGAGAGCGGCGCTCTCTGCTTCGGGTGATTTTAACACGGCACCCGCAGCAGAAGCCCTTCCATGGAGAATGACAGAATAGAATTAAAATGCTGACGTGCTTTGTGTTAAATTCATAATCAATCTTAAATCTGAGAACTCAGGATTCAGTTGGATATCAGCTTTATTAAAATCACTCTCTTGCCACCTTTTCCCCAGAGACGATAGGAGCCCCATATAATTAATATAAGTTTCTTTTTCTTTCCTTTTTTGCTGACGGTGTTGATGAATGGAGCAGGGAGAGGGAGCAGGGGGTGTATCAGGGTGAGAAAGGCCATCAGAAGAAGAGCAGAATCTGGGGTTCTGGGTAATTCACCCACAGACTCTACTTCCGGTTGGGTCAGAGTTGGCCCCTCCACCCAGTAGCCATCCTGGGGGAGGGAAGGTCACTGGTCCCACGCTCGGCTGTGAGCCTGATAGTCACCAGGGAGAACCCCGAAAAAAGCCCTATCACTGTCCCGCACCAGCGTGTGCATCACAATTTATAAAAGCAGACCCTTGAGAACCGCCCGAAAATGCCCATTGAAAAGAACGTGGTTAGGAAAATCATGGTATAGTCTTATCTCTTAATATTACTCTGTTGTTGAAGTTATGTTTTTGAATTTTGAATGGGAAACGAGAAAATGCTCATGATCCAGGTTCATAAAGCAGGGGCATGAAATAAACATCTCACTCAGGGAAAAAATGCCTGGAGAAAGACCAAGAGGAATTACACTTTATCAGACCTGGAGAGTAGCTACTCAGAGTCCTGGAGTGTGGTAGGTTTGTTGGTTTGTTTCCGTCGTAAGTTAAAAAAAAAAAAAATTCTTCTGTAGTGAGCACATAGTACATTTTTAATCAGAAAATGCTAGGTTTTTACAAAATGGTCCTTGAGATCTGTCATTTGACCATGAACGGTACTGTCTGATACGGAGAAGCAGCCATGGCCTCCCCTTCTTGCCCATCCTTGCACGCACTGTGGGATCGCGGGCCAGCAATTTCCTACTCGAGACACAGCCGTTGGCTACTTGTGTGCCAAGTGCCAAACCAGGCTCTGTGGCTGCAGAGAAGTCCCTGGGAGGTGCGCCACACAGACAGGAGCTGTGGTCAGAAGACTGCGAATCAAGCCCCACGTCACTGCAGCCCCCACTGCTCATTTCTGGCCCGGCCCCTGACTTGCCATTGTGATAGTGCAGACAGAGAAGGCCTTCAGACAGGCTCACCTTGGGGACTCAAGATGCCTCCGGGGCCTAGGGTATGTCAGGTTCTTAATAAATGTGCCTTGAAAGGAGAGAATGAATGCACGTCAAATACCATGTTGTAAACTACACAGCAGCATGCAGGGCTTAATGAGGCCTAAATGATAAATGGAGGGGTGTTTCTGCTTCAGTGACATACCAGCTGAATTTTGTATGTGTGTTTTCTCCACCTTCCTTTCCCAACCAACCATGCCTTACAGAAGGAGTTTCCTCATCTTGGGACATTTTCAAGTCTGTCTCCTATACCTGGATTCACCAAGTGGCTTCTGGGACTCCTGAACTCACAAGCAAAGGAACATGGGAGGAATGAACTCTTTACAGATTCGGAATGTAAAGAAATCTCTGAGATCACAGGCGGTCCCATCAATGAGACCCTCAAGGTCTTTCTCAGCAGCAGTGAGTGGGTGAAGTCTGAAAAGCTGGTCAGGGCGCTCCAGGCCCCCTTGATGCGGCTCTGTGCCTGGTACTTGTATGGAGAGAAGCATCGGGGCTTCGCCCTGAACCCTGTGGCAAACTTCCACCTGCAGAATGGGGCCGTGATGTGGCGCATCAACTGGATGGCTGACATGAGCCTCAAGGGCATCACCGGCTCCTGCGGCCTGATGGTCAACTACCGGTACTACCTGGGGGACACAGCCACCAACAGTACCAGCTACCTCTGCTCCAAGAACATCAAAGCTTCTGAGCAGGTCCTCAGCCTCGTGGCCCAGTTTCAGAAGAACAGCAAACTTTAAACCTGTCCCAAAGCAGACGTCCCCAACCCAGAGAAGGGGGATTTTTCTGGATGGGTCAGGGAGGGTTATGCGTCAAAAGGAGCTTTTTTAGTCAAGCAGGGTGAGAGCGTGTTCTCTGGCCTGCAGCAAGGTCACACTGGGAGGCTGTGCCCTGACTTCCATTGCAAGAGTGCAGGCTGCCGCCAGATGGTGGGGGGCTGGACGCGCGCTGGGCAGGGGGACACACCCCCTGCCCCGTCCCCCACAGAGAGCGGCCTGGCTCCCTGCCAGAGGCAGTGCTGTGGTGCTCCATCTTCAGAAAGCTCTAGAGCCTCTGCTGGCTGTCGTCCCAGGGTGGACCAGCCAGCCTCACCGGGCCCCGGGCCGATGGCCCAGGTGAGAGCAGATTTTCCTTCAAGCTTAGAACATAACTCAGCCATTTTAGCCATTTCTCTCCACTCGCGACAAAGGGGTAGAAGGCTGTGCTACACGTTACTCAAAGTTTTGGAGATCCCGAATGTAGGGAAATGTTCATGACTGCACCGAGTTTCCTAAATTAAATTATCGAGCACACGAGGTGGTGTCACCTGGGGCTTGAATTGGATGGTAGACGTTACGATTTCAGAGACACAGGTTCATAAAGAACCTGAGCGTACCGAGTGAGCTTGTTGTGTGAAGCAGTGAACAATGTAAGACGGCATGGTGGCCGCCTCGGAGAGCCGAGACCTCGGGGGCTGGAATGCGCTCAACACACCAGCTGTGCTGTGAACAGCCAGACCGGCAGAGGCAGTGCCTGCAGTGGTTGGGGGGGCGGGGGGGTCTGCGTGCACGGTCTCACTGTTGTCACTCCCGCAGACAGGTCCCCTGGCCTTGCACGCTCTTCATCTTCCACACCCAACCCCTGCTCCTTCCGTATCACCTGCTGCGTGGGGCTTGTTGCCTGATAACCAGCATTGGGCCGGTGGTCACCCCTGGAAGTGTCTCTTGCTCTCAGTCCTGGTGGAAACAGTCCGGTGCCGCTTGGCACGGCTCTGAGCTCCCATCCCGACTGCACATGAGCTCTGGAGCCCCTCACGGGCCCAGGTCGGCGCCGAGGAGCTGGGGAAGAGTTCACGTGTGAGCTGCTGCAGTGTGGCAGGTGTGCTGTGGGACCGCCGCCCTGAACACCCTCCCCGCCCCCGCCGGCGCGTGCATGCACACACTTCACACCTTCTCTCTTTATGTAACCTCTTATTGTGAACATTTTCAAACCAAAGACACAGAAGCGGACAGATAGTCCAGCGAGCTTGTGCTCCTGTCACCCGGCTCCCACCAGACTCCGTGAGCCTGCTTTCTTGTCAGGCCTCATCTCGTGACTTCTTACGGTGGTTTAGCAGGTGCTCTGTGAGTTGGGCCGGCTGGCTGGGTCTGGGATGCGGAGGGGGCTGTGGTCTGAATGTTGGGCCCCTGTCCCCTAAAGATGAGGGCATTAGGAGGTGGGGACTTAGGGGGTGATTAGAGCATGAGGGTGAGGTCCTCGTGAGTGGGATGAGTGCCCTCCACAAGAGGCCCCACAGAGCCCCCGGCCCCTTCCACCCTGTGAGGTTACAAAGCGTCTGTGCCCGGAAGAGGGCCCGCCCCCGCCCGTGCTGGCACCCTGATCTTGGATTTCCGGCCTCCAGAGCTGCCAACAGTAAATCCCTGCTGTTTATAGGCCACTCGGTCGTTGTTATTTTGTCCCAGCAGCCCAGATAGCTGGGGAGGGGTGGGTGTGGGTGGACGAGTATCTCATCTCCACGGATCAGTGCAAATCACTGACAGGAGGGAGCTGGACTGCCTCATTGTGCTGCACTGAGCCAAAACTCACCTCATACCACTTAGGTCACAGGAAACCCTGTCGTCTGTGCACTTGCCACACCTATCCATGGCTCCTAGCAGGGCAGGGGCGGCTGACACAGCCCAGCTCCCCCCTTCCTCTGAGCGATGATCAGACTGCCCAGGTGCCCTTACAGCATTCTTTGCGAAAGGACTGTGGCAACAGCGAGTTTGGCAGGCAGCAGCGGGTTCCTGGATCCTGGCGTTGTGAGTTTACCGCCCATTGGTGAGCACCCACTGCCCAGGTGACATTGTTGCAAGGGGGACACTGTCTTCAAGTATAGGTGCTATCTCCCAGACCTGGGCTCCGTCCCATGTGCTCTCAGGGGACCCGGGGCAACCACTCGGACCACAGTGTCTTCTTCTGTTAAAGTGCCCACAGTGGGGCAGCTCACAGTAGGTGCTCAATAATTTGTCCTTCGTTTCCATAGCATGCCAGATTCAGGGCTGAAGCTGTGCTCCGCGCCTCCCAACCACAGAGCCTGCTCCTCGCCCGTGTCCCCCAGCCCACGTTTCAGACCCCATCTCAGGAGAGGCTCTGCCCCCCTCCCCCTCAAGCTGCTGGTCCAAGCTCCTCTCCCGTGGCCTCCCTGCTCTGGGGTCGGTGGTTCAGACACACCCCCAACTCCATCCCGACCACAAGGGTTTCCCCACAGGCCCAGGCCTGGGCTCTGCTGGAAATGGGATTAATTACGATTCGGGCGTGCTAGTGGACTTGGGACCGACCTGCTCAGACTTGTGCACAGGCCCCTTTCTGTCCTGAAAGGCAGCACGTGGTCCGACAGCTGGAGCCACCTACCCTCACCTTGCTTCAGTCTCCCCTCTGTAACTGGGTAACCACAGCGCACAGGCACTTCAGGGCTGCTGAGAAGCCTAAAGGAATGACCACCGTCCTGTTCACCTGGATAGAAAAGGTTCTCCATCCTCTTCTCCGTATTCGGAAATTTAGAGTGTTGGGCGGTTTTCTGGCTTCTGTTCACAATTCCTAAAGGTGACTGTTCCCGGAGGAGAAGGGGCAGGAACTTGCACTCTGCACTGCAAAGGCGGGGATCGCTGATGCCTGCCTGTTCTTTCTCCCCTGCCGGGCTGTCCCTCCCTCTCCCTGGCCTCTCCCGCCCCCCCCCCCGCCCTCCCTCCCTCTGCCCTTCTCGCTCAGGACTGCTCAGCTCTGCCCTCCCTTGGGCTTGGGGGCGTTAACGCTCCAGCCAGGGGGGGCTGCTTTCTGTACGTGGCTTAAAAGATAGGGAGGGGGACTCTCCTCTAACATTTTTGCAAAGATCAGCTTTTCCTGGGCTTTGTTTTAAATTAAGTGTAAGGTATGTTTAAAATTTAAATGGAGCGAACATCTCTCTGATTTTTAATTGGATTCTAAAGCCCTCATTGGAATATGAGGTCCTTTTGGATCTATTCTTAGAACAGACAGCTGCCAGGTGATTTCCACCCACCACAGACAGTTTCTGCATTCTTTGCAATTTAGCTAAGTTGATCGAGGGGACCCTGTGGCTCTTTCTTGCCCTTGTTTTTTTGTCTTTTTCCAAATGGCATTTGCATTTCTCACCTAGCTAATTTCCTGTCATCCAGAAAAAGAGGAAGAAAGAGCGTTTATCTGTGCTCTGGTCCTGTAGTTCTCACCTCCCAACCATGAGGCCTGAGGGTGTTTCTGATTTACTGCTGAGGAAACAGCTCTGGGAGGACTGAGCAGCCGGTGAGGGAGGAGCTGGGACTGCCAGGGCGACAGCTCGAGCAGAGCCTCAGAGAGGAGGCACCCAGCCACCTGGCAGAAGGGCAGCTGGGCAGGCGAGGCGAGGAAGGACAGGGCACGTCGGGCGGGACGCAGAGGTTCTGGCAAGGGGGCGGGGTCCTGGGCAGGACTCTCCCGAGGTGGAAAGCAAGTGTCTTGTTGTTAGCCATCTCTCCCAGCTGCTAACCAACAGGCCAGGCCTGGTGCTCTAGCCTGGGGGGACCCCGAGGGGCTGGGCGAATTAGAAGCAGAGCCCCGGGCCAGGTTTGCCAACACTGTTGCCAAACAAACTCGGATTAAACCGTCACAAGAGAAGCCAATAACTCAGGAGACGGACATTTATGTCAGGTGCCGGCAGTGGGGGTTGGGCTCAAGCCTTAACAACTCACTTCTCCACCCACAAGACAGACATCTAGGGTTTTACAGAGAGGTTTGGGGCGGGGGGCTGGTACGTGCAGAACAGGCAGGATGGCGAGGTCATGGGTGAGGGCAGTGTGTGTTCAGCATGGTCAGGGGCAGGGGAGGGGGCGCGTGGGGTGTGGTCTAGGCGTTCTGTTGCTATCAGGGCTTTTTTGGCCTGGCGATTGGAATGGGCTAAGACAATCTCCCTCTCAGAAGTGTCTGGGTTTGGACAGTCACTTCTTTGCCCCCCGACCAATGACGCACGTGTGTGGGTGGCTACACGAGCGTGTGTCTCCCCCTAGATAGAAGCTCCCTGAGGGCAGGGGTCCTGCTTGGTTTTGCCAGCAGCTTGGCACAGCTCCTGCCATGGGCTGGGCTGCAGGTCCCCCGGGGCTCCCAGGGCCTCCTCCAGTGCAGCCCCCTGCAGAGGGACACTCCTCAGCCTGCTCTGCTCCTGGCCCAAAGCCCCACATCTCCATATAGGCAGGGTCTTTCTGGCCAGGCTTGGCCCTCAGCCCGGGCTCTCCCCCAAGGAGTCCTGCCCCAGGGCGCTGTGTGACACGGGGACCCAGCGCTGCTTCCCACTGGGACCCACGGGAGCTGCTTCCTCCAAGTCCATTTCCTGCCCAGTAACCATAATCCCAGCCACCCTTGGTGAGTGCCGTGCCCTGCAGGGGTGACCTGGGCCTTGGCTTGCAATGATGACTGGAGACCCCGGGGCAGCCTGTAAAGGAGAACAACTGTCCCCGTCTGAAAGCTGAAGACACCGAGGAGGGCAGAGGGTGAGGGGCCAGCTCGGGAGCTCCTGCTCTTCCTGCGCTGCTGTGCCCCCTGAGACTTCTCTTTAAACACAGGGAAATTAAAAAGACACTTCTCTTCCATAGTCCCACCTCTCCCGGGCCAGACAGTGTCCCCAGAGCCTGTCACCTGGCTGTGAAGGCAGGACTGCACTCAGTGCTGATGGCTCAGCGGGCCCTCCTGGGGCTGCGTGAGAGGTTGGACAAAAGGAGTAGGTGAGGAGCCCAGCACAGTGCCTGCCGCACAGCAAGCTCCTCAGAGATGTGGCGGCTCCCTTGGATGGGGACAGGCGGTGACTGGAGAGGCAAGGAGCCGCAAATCCCTGTTATGCCTCGGGCCACTGTCACTGGAGGTCAGAGCCGCCTTCCGGCGCTAAAAATGCTTCTGCGTCTGGAAATCTGCGAATCTTGGGCACCGTCCACCCTGTGTGCCGCTAGATGGCGATGCTGCCTCTTCCTTTCCGGGGACTCAGGCACTCAATCTCAGCTCTTAAGCAGTGACCCAGGTATTAGACCTGCACCCAGATCCCACACAGCAAGCCCCCTTTCTCTCACAAGGCCTGAGGAACAACACTCAGGGCCGCTGCATGACCTGGGGCCGTCCAAGCCTGCTGCTCTCTCAGTTTTCCCGAGGTGGCCCCTCCGCAAGCTCCTTGGGTCCCGATGCAGAATCAAGGTCATTG